CCAGAGCGAGCCTGGACCAAATAACACCCAGAAGGACTCTTGTTATGAATCCAAGGGAAGGCAAGGAAGTAAAAGTTCCTTATGGACCATTTTAGAAGATAAACTGAAATGAGTACCAAATTTCAAGATACAAGGTTTCAGAGGTCTGGTGACTTTAAAGGATATAGAAGGTACTACTGGAACCCTCAAAGACGAGTTCACGAGTGTGCAGTTTTCATACTCATCTAAAAGGGTATCAAATGTTTTGACGTTGTATGAGTTACACGCATTCTCAATTTGGTGCTCTACCAGTTACCATATCTGTATTCTAATACTTTAGGTTAAATTACCAACTGTTCTAGCACAAAAGGCTGTTTTTGGGGTAGCACGTTAAGATAAGGTAATGGGGTATGCTTACATTTCTTTGCCATACACCTGACGGACCAAAATGCCTAAAGGCACTATCTATGGATGATTCCTCCGATTTCTACAGGCACCGACCTTGGGTTCCCGCGAGATCTCGTAATGATGGAGAAGGAGCTGGGACGAGGTGTGTTCGGGAGGCTGTTCTTGGCCACAGCCCATGGGATCGATGAAGCAGGGAAAGACACGAAGGTCGTCGTCAAGACTGTCATAGGTGCGTCACATGACATCAAAACCATTCAGGCTATTATTGTCCACAGCGCTCAAGACCTTGCGGGCTCGGTGATGCACTGTAAAATCCTTGATGTTCATTATCAGCGCACTACATCCCATCGGTTGCAGTCTACTGTTAACACCCAGGTTGTTGAATTAACACCGCTATAACACCACAGTTTTCACAGTGTTTGACCCAAATAAAGTAGGAAATCAGCTGCAGCAAGCATGCCACCTACGTTTGAGTGTAAAATTCCTGACCTGGCTCCCTATAAGCAAAGTTTTTCGTAGATTCTTTCGCTTTCTGGCAATTCGATTTCCTTCGCTCGGAACTCAAACATCTCAATGGCGCTATGCTTAGCAGTCCGATATTAAGGGACGTGTTAGGGGCCTTAAGGAGCTATTTCGAGGGCTCAACAGTTTTCAACGGGAGGGGGGAGTCAGCGGCGTAGCGAGCGGGCTTGGGTGGGAGTGTTGCATCCCCCGGTAATTCTTTTCAGTTGGCAAATATAGGGTCAGTTGGCAAATGAAACTGAAATTGACGTCATGAATTACTGACGTACATCGACCAGTCGGCAAATTGACCCTGGCACATACACACAAAGAAAATGCCTTCGCTACGCCGCTGGGGGAGTAAGTTTCTATTGGGCGGGGTCACTCGGTGGCTGTTGTCATAGTTGCCACTTACCGTCAGCAGAGTTTTTCCTTCTCTATTTACTGAGTGGGAGAGGGAGGCCTTGAGTCAGACGGTGCCTCCTGTTAGGTTACGCCACAGAGTGCCCTAGTAACTAACCTTTGCTTTCCTTCGATTCTCAGGTTGTGCAAGGACAGATGAGGACACAGGGGGCAGGCTTCACGTTCTCGCAGAGCTGGATCTGATGAAAGAAATTTGTTCGCATCCAAATGTCATCAGACTACTTGGCTTTTGTGTGGAGACGGGTAACATAAACGTTTAATGTCACTAATATGCCCCCAAATCACAGTCTGCGTCATGCAGTTACTGGGGCAAATTCTAGATTTCTTGGAGGCGCATCAGTATCTAAACCAAACACTGTGAACGACCTGGAGTTTTCCCTACAAAAATTGAAAGGTATTCCTATTTATGGTGGATAAGATACTGAACTTAAATGTGACTTTGTCAGGGATTATCCAAAATCAAAACTAAAATCAAAGTCACAATCACTACGAACATCTAACAAAAGAAACACAGTGCACTAACAATGAGCGTCCATTGTTGTTGCACCGTGCTTCTTTTGTTAGATGTTCATAGTGAATCAGAACTCACATTCAGGATTATGTTGTTAAAGTCTAACTCACGATGTGATTTTTGACTTTTCTGGATGTGATTTCTGGCTCGGATGTGAGTTTGGTGGCGTGGATGTGATACTGGATAATCCTTACCAAAATCAAATCAAGGCGAGCGGCCTTTCCATTTTTGTTAGGAAATGACATCCAAGCCATTCACAGTGAAACAAGGCACCGATCAAAACCAAACAGCAAAACGGCAGGAAGTAATTTATGTTCAACCAACGCGGCTTTTGGGCGCACAAAAATGAAAGAAAGCTCCTGTATCGGAGACTAAACAATAAGTGAATTAGACTTTTACCAGACGCTTGTGTCGCCTTGGTACGGTGGTGTCGAAGGGACAATGTATGGAAAACACTACACGACAGCAGAAAATTAGTTGAGGGGGCCATAAAAAAATTGTTGTTCCCTCAACAAAATGTGTTGTTTGTTCCCTCAAAAACATTTTGTTGTTCCCTCAAAAATATATATTAACAGACATCCCCCATATGTCCATTTAAGACCACTGTACGCTTGAGCTTATGTCCACATGTCCAAAATGATAGTGGACCGCTCGCTGCTTGACTGTATTTCAGACACCTGCAAGCGTCTAAATTGTCTCCTCTTAAAACGTCTCCGGTGGCTAATATTCCATCACGAAAATCAAAGGAGTGCCCAGTAAAGGCCAGTACACCGCCTTCGAAGTAGCCTTTTTCTACTCTTCTGAATTTGAATACCTTTCATCAGATCCCGTTTACATCATTGTTGAGCACTGTGCTAAGGGGGATTTGAGGAGCGTTCTACTGCAGTACCGAGACACGGAGCTCGGTAAAGCCTACTGCAGGCCCGGGTCCGAGCCTGAATCGAGCGGACCGCTGTCTCGGACCTTAGTCGGATTTGCGAGGGACGTGGCAAATGGTATGGCCTTTTTATCCTCAAAAAAGGTGAGAATTAATAACTAGCTCTAAAGTTTCATATCCTTGATTTCACGACGTCCTATTGAAAGTTGGAAGAGCTACTGGCCTCTATTCCTGAGGCCATTTTGGCTAAGAACTTGAATAATCCCGCTTATCCACTCCAAAATCCTAAATTTTAATTCGTCAGCTCAAAACAGAGCACAAAGCCAGATACTGCGCTATATCATGCGGTCACCAATGTTACTCCTCATTGTAGGCAGGCATTTGCATAGCTACATAACAATAACCACCACCACCACAACAACATCAAAGAACAGCAAACAGCAACAACAACAAAGACAACAAAAATAATAAAAGCAACACAATCTATGGCCTCTTCAAACCGTAATCTTTCCATTCCTTCCCCTTGTCTTCTGTCTTTGTAAGTATGTACTTTGTGACCTGACTTCAAGTAAAGTGCTGGTGGGCGATGACTACTCGTGTAAGTTGGCCGACTTCAGAAGGGTGAAAGGAGTCACAGCTGTCTACGCAGATTTATGTGAAACGAACTTAAAGGTAGCGTGCACATCCTTACAAAACTGTCGTGCATTTTCTTTAGATAAACGCTGCCTCACTATTCAGCATCCAAACTATATCCCTAAATGTCTGCTGAGTTGTTGAGTTATCTTTCTCTCAGATGAGTTGGTCACTTTCTTGAAAACACGGTCCTAAAAAACTAATTGTGCGTTGCAACAACGCCTCCCCCAAATAAGGAGGAAATGAAGAATGTTCTGAAGTCCTCTTCTTTACGAATGATCTTGGGGGCCAACTTTGAAGACAGATGGGGTTGATGAAGTCATTATAAATATATCCACGCTTCACTGAAAACATAACTGTTTTCAACAGTCTCGCCCACCGTTTCGATGGCTGGCACCCGAGTCATATGAATATGGCATTTTTTCTACGGCAAGTGACGTGTGGTCTTTTGGGGTAGTACTCTGGGAGATCCTTACACTGGGTGAGTACCCTCGAACCAAACACTGAAAAACTAAACAGCAGAGTCGCTGACTCGAGTCATGTGACTTGGACTTGAGTCAAACACGAGTCGCTATTTTTGTGACTTGACTTGTAAATAACAGCTTTGACTTATAGCTTGACTTGGACTTGCAAAAAATGACTTGTTACCAACACAAGTCAGACGCTACTCAACCGGCCCCATATATTTTTACAACTCGTATCTCCGTAAGTTGACACCTGGTTCTTTTTGCTTATTACAGCTGGACAAAATAATGTGCAGCTTGACTTGCTACTTGGACAAAGAGACTTGTGACTTAACTTGTGTTTAGACCAAATGACTTGTGACTTGACTTGACTTGCCCTGTAACCAAATGACTTGTGACGTGACTTGTGACCGGACCTAAAACCTGTGAATTTGTTTGCTTGTTTTTTGGTTGTTTTTTTAATTCAAGAGGGGAAAATGAACGATTGTAACGTCGAGCGCGTATTACCATCGAAGCCGTCTGCAAATTGTATCGGAAAAAACCTGACAATGTGTTCTTGAGAGAGAGCGGTTTTATGCACCTTTTTTAAAACCTTTTTTTTAAATACTTTTTTCCCGAACAGGGAAAAAACCCTACTCCGAGCTGGGGATGAGCGGTATGCCTATAGAAGACCGCATTGCGACAGGCTATCGCTTGCCCAAGCCCCGGAACTGTGGCCAAACGACGTAAGTGAAAGACAAAAATCATTATCAAGTGAAAAAAGAGAAATAGGGTTCGTACTTTTTGATGTCTGACGAAATAATCCACAGAAGAGGGTACTGAAATGGCAGGCATGAATAGGCCTACGACAGACACAATGTTCTCCAGGTTTTACTTGAGTGTACTTCTTTTCATCAAATATATGAGGACTTTGAAATATATGTTGATAGTGCTAAGAGGAATATTCAGATGCAGGTCACACTCTTTCCACATCATTAATAGTTTGACTGACGCCCTTCTCGTGTTCGCAATTCTATTAATTAAGTTCGACATGAAATTAATTAGAAATCAACCTTCCTTCCCAAGTTACAAAGATTACACTAGGAAGGAGGGAGTCAAAGGCTGAGTATGATCTTCAAATAATGTAACATAAGAAAACAAAGGGTTCTATCCCTATTTTGACCAAACCTGCTGTGGCCACCACATCGCTCACGCGCTGACCGTTTGATATACACGTGTCTGTTTGTCGCTACTGCATCCATTGTAGGTTTGTGCGTAAATTTAGGCCACATCCATGTATATCATGGCCCGGACACAGATACGACAATGTGGAATATGGTTTGCGGTATTCTGAAACATTGCATTTGGCTAGATTACTAAAAGTTAAAAAGGATAAAGAAAAGTGGGGGGTATGTCCCTCTATCCCAGGGATCTGTATCCATGCTTCCAAAGCCTGGAGGAGTTGATGCTAAGTGGATGCTTGGGATTTTTGTTTGTCTCTGAGACTATGCACAAGAAAAAGAAAATCACCATGAGCAGAATAAGAATTCGTTCCCCAAACTGTACGAGGAGGAGTGTACTGACCTGCTTCATACCACATTATATTGTTTGATGAGACATATGAAAAGCGTTATTGTGAGTTTTCTAGGGGGTAGAGAAAATGCTGTAATATGGTATTTAGGAATATGAGAAACTGTCATTAATTGCATTATGTGCTTTAACATTTTGTGACAAAATTGGTGCAATTTCCTCATCCAGGTACGCCATGATGCTTAGCTGTTGGAAAAAACAAGCCTCAGGATCGACCTGATTTCCAACATCTCCTTCAGCAACTCGATGGGATGCTCTCGAGACAGACTGAACACTCTCCACACTGAAAACAAAAATCGTGGGTTACATTTCAATCCATAGGAGGTTGGAAGCTGCCACTCTCCAAAGGTGGTGAAATAATCCAATTTAGGGGAAAAGATTTTCAGACTCAGTTTTACCAATAAAAATGAGTTTTCATAATTAAAGCCTGGATAAGTTTTACATTTGTTAGCAGTGATCAAAAATGTATACTTTTCTAGTTAAAATGTAGAATAGACGATATTACGTATTTATGTGCCCATATCTCGCTGGACTATGGAGTTTTGACCTTTTATGGAGAGATATTAGACGCTAGAATGCTTAACATGGAAAAATTGAAAATCCTATGACCGTTTGATGACCTCAATACTTTGTCTTTCAAATGTTAACCGCGAATGTCAAGATGTGTAATGGAATTTCATTTATAAGATGTAGTGCCTGGTATTGATAGATGGTTAACATCAATCAAGTTTTGGCATCATCGTGTGTGGTTAGTGGAGTCATTGGTTCAGTACTGTTCTCTGTTTTGCCATAAAAATGTGGTTGATTCCTGAATAAAGCATAAATATTGAATATGTTATTGTGATAAATTACCGAAAGCTAAACATTAACGGAGTAGCCGGGACACGGATAACAACATTGCTCCGTGAAAAGAACAGTCTTGGATTTGTAGCGCGCAAACACAATTCGTGGAAAGCACACCCTTAAGAAACGTTATGCCACTAGTAAACACTTGTTGGCACTCCAGGGTCTGAAGCCCCTTGCTCAATTTTCTTAGCTCTATCAGCCTTTGAATACTGTAAAAGGGTGTGTTAAATTAGGAGATGACGATCGACATTGATCAATACTGACTTTGATAAATGCTGACTTTGAAAATTGCCCTGATGTATTGCTTTAATTTCCACCCTCACGTTTCCAACTGATCACTTATTTGTCCCTCTCTGAACCGGAATTAAACTATAACTTTGCCTTATATGCAAAGAGAACCAGCAGCTTCAGAGATGCATTGAACAAAATTTACACGAATACCTATTCCCGACAGCCAATTATATTGCCCTTGTGCAAATAGTTGGGTAAGTTACCGCAACCCTTAATTTGGATATAGTTGAGAAAAATATCGAAACTGCATTTTGTTTCCAACTATTTAACACACACGTGCATGCACACCCAGGCTAGGAGTGAGGGTAATTGGCAAACAATAACTTTTCAGCTGTTCCTATAACTTTTTCAAACCAGCTAAATCGACCTATATTGTACATGCAGTTGTAAGGACTTGGGCTCTTGCATTGGGAAACTCTTTGGCTCCGTGAACTGAGGTGACATTAAGCTGGATTCTGAGAGATCTGCGGGTACACGTCTGTATGCTTTTTGTATTAAGCCTAAAGCCCGCTTAAAAGTAGTCAACACCCTTTTTTGGCATAATTTTACAAGATTGGCTGATTGAAGTGTATAATATTCACTGCAACTGACGTTCTTCTGACTTCTCTCATGATTTAGTCGGTTTGAATTGTAATTGATTGCCTTGTAATGACGCTCTCTTCACCAAATTGAATGCAGTAGAAGCAAATGTATCCGCTTGTATGTCGTTGTTCGGAGTTGGCACGTTTTCTGGAAAATTGGTGTTTCATCAAGATCGGCATAAAAGACACATGATGGGCTCTTGACCTGTAGGAAAATGTAAATTGTTTAGTATTATTGAATAAAGTTGAAAGAAAATTCGAGACACATTTTGATTGGTCAAATTAATAATCAAAACACTGCGTCTTAACCTTACAACCTGTACATTGAAAATTCCTTCAAGTCTCTTGAGCCTGAGCTGCGCCAACACCTGGGCGTAGCTATATTCGGGGAAGGTTTGTTTCATAACACATCTGTCTAGGTACACGACATGTAGGCCCTACTTACCTAGGCCTATGTGAAAATGGTTCTACTGCCAGTCTTGAGAGGAGCCGGACCTCATGCCTCGTGGAAGCTGTCCCTGTTGCATTGTTGGACTTTACTTTGCTTTAAAAATCCTCAAGAGCCTCAACTGTAGCTTTTGTTCACGTTTCCCCTGGGGATTTTGTGACAGTCGAAAAACTGCTTCCAGGAAATGGGCCCCAATCTGTTCGATGTTATCAAGTTAAAAATGAGTCACTGTAGCCCATGGCTGTGCACTACTAACAAACCAACTTATCACCACGAATCTTACAGACTGACCAAACAACCACATTTTAAGAAAAATCTTCAACCAGGAAAATTAAAATCATCCACTGCCTGTACAATGTTTGAGTGATGACAGTGGATTGACAAAAGGGGACACTGGGAAGTGTATTTAAATTATACAATAATCTACAATACTGGACGTGCATATGACGGGTGTCGTGGTGTGCGGCATTTCGCTTCTTGGCGTTAGTTTTGTTTTTCGATTATCTTCAGAATCAAAGTGCTCATTTTGTTTCTCACTCTTTATCGGTTCCGTTTCTTCACCGTGTTATTTTTGCACTCTCATTGGTATTTATATTTATCCTGGCTCTCTCTAGCAATGCAGATTATATCTAAGGGCAAAACCCATATTAAAAATGGTCAATTCTGTTGCCTGTGATTATGCATGCAGTTTGCTTAATAACATGTCCAGAAGGAATTAGCACCTTGCATAATTCATGCTCTAAAAATAGTTAATTCAAGTAAATGGATGCGCAAAGGTTAGCGTATAGACAAAACCTTAAAAAAGGTGTACACGACAAACTAAATCTAACACCGGTACCTTTACTACGTATAAGTGATGAACTTCTATATAGTTGATTGTCGAAAGTGTCGAAAAACACTATTTCAGAATGAAAACGTCATGGTTCCAACAATCCATTGAAACTCCATTCTGGCTCAAAATTTCCTGAGCGGTCGGACGTCCAAGCTACTATTTCGGTATCAAATCAATGTGTGCTCCAGTGGACGTGGTTTTTGAGGCGTGCAGAGCAACGCTTGGAACCCCCGCACCTCTTCGTCGGCTACATGGAGATCCAGCGTCTGAACGGCGACCGGCTGGGCGCATTCCGGTGGCAGGGTTATCTCCTCGAAGTCATTGTCCAGGCATATGGTCAATTTCCCTTCTGCTTCTGTGACTGCGTATTCCGCGCACAGACGGAACCCGTCCGACTGGAGTTCTGAGAGGAAAAGGAAAATATAAGATGAAGTATGACAGAAGGAAAAGAAAATTGCAAAGGGAACCAGCTGTCATACATCTTAGGAATTATTCAATTATTTATATAGTTAGTTAATTACTAAATTAATAAAAAATTTTCATGTGTTAATGCTCATCGGGTTTTGTCAGTTTTTTCAGAAATGTTGGTAAACTAATGTTTTTGTAAATCTTGTGATATAGAAATATTGCAGTTTAGCAATGTGCTGATACAATTTCCTTGATGATTTGATAATAAATAACTTTAATGTTGAATATGAAATTTATGGTCTCCTTGCAGTTTTCTGACACTGCAACTATACCTTCTCCCGTGTTGCTGGGTTGTTAGTCGGTGTGTATATTGTCTCCCACCAAATGAGCCGTACAAGGCGACAACTGTTATCACCGAAAGGGAGGTACCAATGGGGACAAGTTGTCAATTATCTATTTCCTGTCCCTTCATATAATGGAAAACACCAACGATAGAACTGTCAGATTTCCACCTCCGCTTGAGGGGAGTTCTATCTATTAAATCAATATGTCATACTCTACCTTGCTGTGTGTAACACGGAGGTCCCCCAATGTTCAATGAAGGCCTACCTTGCATAATTTCCACCTTCCAATAGTGAGTCCCAGTAGGACAGTATTCCAAGAGCCTGTACGGGTTTTCCACATAGTCAAACATCACTGTAGGATGATATGAACGGTCTTGTAAATCCTGGAGTTCATAGCCGTTGGTTGTAATTATGGTTTCAATTAAATCCAGTCCAACCAAACCCACTCAAGCTCAACACAACACACCCCAATCCAGCCCAGCTTAACCCAACCATGCGCAATGCAACTTAGCACAGCTCAACCCAAACAAGCCCACCACAACTCGGCCCAATGCAGCTCAGCTCAACCCAACCATACCCAACCAAGCCCAACACAACCCAACCATGCCCAGTGCAACTCAGCCCAATCCAGCCCAACCCATGCAACCCCAAATAAACCTTACCCTGCCAACTAAGCCCAATTTATCCCAAACCATTTTAACTATAAAACCCAACCCAAAGCATTCAAACATAATCCAGCCCAATCCAGTCCAGCCTAACGCAACTCAAATCAACCCAACTAACACCCACACCAAAACCTAAGACGAAAACAAATGAAACGAAGAATCCAAACCGAACTCACTAAGATGTACTTTTCCTCCTTCTCTTGCGGTGAAGCAAGATTGGCAATGGGTAACGTCATTATTGCAAGTCATATTCTCCACATGCAGACTCTGTCAAAATTGGCAAACGGAAGGAAAGAATCGATGTTCGGTATTATGGCAATTTATGGATACTTTTCTGGAATAAAATATGCCTTACACGAAAAAAAAGGAAACAATGACGAGGAAGATCAGAGAAAAATATGCGTCTTGTTATGTCCAACGTAAAAAGAACTTGTTAATAATTCGCTAGAACTGGATTATATTGCAGAAATCTGTAAAACAGGATGCAGAGCGTGAATAGAAAAGGAGTAAAAGAAGCAAACACGTACATGCACGAAACGAGGTACATGTAGTTGCTTTCGCGACAACTCTAAAATATGAGCTTCCGAATGAACACGAAATCACGACATATTGCTTACCTTGATATCAAACACTGAGTCCTTTCTGACTGTAAAAGAAATTGATGTTTTGGTTCCCAAGCAAGAAAAAACCTTAAATCTTCCTGTCAAAGTGAAAATTTTTAGAGTTTTGAGGATACTTGCCTCACATTCTATAGTTAGTTGTTTGCTTTTTTTATTTCCTTGCTCCGTTTTGCCTGCTAAAGTTGTCCAATGTCTAATTTTTGTCAATATGACTGATTTTGTTCGCTGCATCTAATCCAGTTACTGGTATCGTTTTACCAAGTTTAAAGAAATTGCAGATGATTATTAAGATGGAATATCTCACCAAGTGAGAACGGGAAGAATCATTTCCAGAAACACTCCAAAGTCCGTCTGCCTCGTTGACGAGCAATAAGCACAGTATCGCAAACCTCCGCATGGCGTTCCTGCAGGAATTTGGCAAGACCTAGTAGTTAAAGCAATGGTCATTTGCAGAAATTGGGAAGCGTACGTTCCTGGTTGAGATTGTTTAGCATTTTCAGATGTCAAGTTTAACAGTAAAGGGGCTTGGATTTTTTTAAGGAAAATCTCACAGCGGGAGCTAACTTAGCTGTAGTACGCAATCATCTGTTTGAACGCTGGCTTGCATGTAAAGACTGAGATAGACGTTCAAATCCATAATAGACTTTGCGGTTGCGGCGATTTGTGACTGGTCCAACATGATGATCTTGCGTGGATCAGAGTCCAGACTGCGCACTTTCTTTTGATGTATAAAGTCGACCTGTCATGCTCATGGAAATGGACACCGCGGGTGAAGAAATATTGAGTGTTTCCATTGATTTCCATTGTGCCAGATTCTTGTCAAGGCCCTCATTTCATCCTGTGAAGAAAGCATGAATGTTCCATCTATTTGTTCACAAAAAGCCCTGCATTTTAAAAGACTTCCAGGACTTAATTATTTCCTCCTCTTTGCTGATTTATTGTTGTTTATGTGCATAGCAATAAGTAAGCATCAATCCCACTGTCAGAAATGTTTTCGGTTTGTAAATTGTGGGTTCACCATTTTAACAGAAACACCGATGCCCTTACTCATGTCTTCCCTAGATGACTTCACAGCAACAACGCCCTCCGTTGTCTGGGAAAGCATGGATAATTTATTGCGTGCACTCTTCAATGCATTGAACCAACTATGACTATACGAGAATTTTGATACATTGAAGAAGAATACAAAATTGGAGGAATATGGTGTGTAAGAAAAACATTATTACAGCTACACTTTAACAATTGCTTAACAATGCTGACTCAGCGGTCGAGTTCGGGCGGTCTGTTGTTGACACGGGTTTCTTGTTCTCGCGCTCGAACGGCGGGAACAAGACTCAAGAACACTGTTCTCGGAACAGGATCACACACCACCTCCTCGTCAGGGTTTTACAGGAACACACGGCAAAACTCGTGAGATTTTGATTTTTGAACAGCTGCAAAAGTGGAGAGGTGGCTTCCAAAGCCATAGACCATGTAGACAATGGGAAGTTTGCAACGTTAACATTAATTATTTTCCCAAACACAGAAATGAATGTTCCTGTTTATATGGAAAAGAATTCAACCCATCCAAAATTTAACTCTCGAGTAACGTACATGGACGCCGCCATATTGCACGTTGTTTGTTTCTTCCCGGCGTTCGAACGGCCGACCCACGAATAACAAATCGAACTGTTCGTGAACATACTGGAACAAGCCGCCCGAACTCAGCCAGCGATTGTTGACTTTTGAATTTGGCAGTTCAGGTTTTCTCTTTTTAAAAATTTGCTCTACTTGCCCTTTATTGTTTTATGGGAGTATAAGAAGGCATGATATTCCTGAATTAATGTCACTGCTGTATCTATTACACTTTTTAATTACTGTCCATTGGTATCACGACCACTATTAAGCACTTTTATGGGTGGTCATTATACAGCGCAGCCGATTTGATAATATTAATGGGCAAATATATAAAAGGATTGTTCAATTTCAGGTGGTTTAAAACAAGTGGATAAGCCTCTTTAGCTGTTGCATGTACCCTGTTTGTTTAACATTTGCTTTCAAATTCATTCTCTGGTCATGCAGAGTGTTTAGGGAACGCTCATTATTCGTTTTAGGGCAAGCTATTTGCATCTCCATCGGCATTGTAGGCAGAAAGAAATTGATTTCGCAAGATTTGTGCATAAATAGTGACGCTTGAGAGGTGTTAAATCTGTGATTTTTTTCTAGGTTCTTGTATTCTTTCGTTTGTCCTTAAATCATAAAAATACTTCTTAACTGTCAATAAACTCGGAAATAAGAGCGTAGTGGCATACGCCAGATTCCACACTTTTCCTCTGATCCTTTTACTTTTGCGTCATGCTTCAAACGTATTAATACATTTTTTCTCTTGCACAAAAAAACTAATTTCCTCGTATATTTTCGTTGCGTTGAGCTTCAAACATTACCTCTTGATTGATTTACGTTTGATGTATCGACTGTGACGTCATTGGAGGCACTAAGACCAGCGGTAAACGGAATTCCTAGTACTTGCTGTCGATGTAAACTCCATTCCCAGATTTGCTTGCCCGAAACCGACTTTGAATGGCTCCACACTTTTGCGACTCGTTCCTCTCCGAATTTGAACGAGCATAAACGAAATTTGCTAACGCTTTCGAATGAAATCAAGCGATCCTTTTTAATGATCATTAAAGCATACTGAATGAGTTTCCAAGGAGTGGAAGTAACCACTTTCAGAGCAATCCCTTTGAAGAGACATTTATTTCAATTTACGTGCAATTGATTTATGTCTGAAAATCATCAGCAAAGGTTAAAGTCTACAATCGGCTGGGAAAACCTCTAACATGCCCAAAATTGCAATGGTAAGGCAAAAAGACTATTTTTTGGCTCTAGTTCAAATTCCATGGGTCAGACACAAATTTCACCACAGCCTTTCTGAGAGGTTTCAGTCTCTGTTAATGGCGCGACACTAATCTGAAATCAGTACCTTTTCTAAATTTCCATCAATAATAATAATAAGAATAATAACGCCAAGAGGATTAATTCCCTTTAAAACTCACCAGCGGTTGAAGACTTCTGATCCCAATTTAGACCGATCTTCGTCAGGCCCTCAGTTGCGTCGTCATTGACCAAAGAACCTGCAGCTGAAAAGCGAAACGTAGCCAGGCTATAGGCCTAGACCTTTCCACTAATAAATTCAACATTATGCACGCACGCGCACAATTAGCCTTGGCAGCAAGGGCCATTGAAAATGTACAGGGGAGTGATTTTGATAATCTTCTCTCAGGTGTTTGGCTCTGTTCAGTTTTTTCTTCAGAAAAATCCCATTAAATCATTTTCTAATCAACCAATCAGTTTCTAATCTAAGCGGGACTTTTAGTGCTTCATCTCGTGCCCGCAAGAAAAAGTTCACTTAGGCCTATAAAGTCTTTTTAAAGAGCACTAAAAATCCCGTTTTGATTAGAAACTAATATAGCAAAAACTATATAATGGGATGAGAGAAAAGGTCTGTAGAGACAAACTTTGCGCATCATCATGTGCTATACCGGTGATTCGTGTCCATGGACGACCAATCAACATGGTTACGAAATCCACGCACGCGTTCTTGACCTGGAAAAGAACAGAGGGGCCCAGTCATTCATCGCATCTGGGAAACACGAGGGGCGTGTTGTATTTTGTTTAGTTGTCTTCAGCAAGAAAGCTGTGGCAGTCTGGTGGAACTCTGGCAGTGGTCATGATCATTGGCATTTCCCCGTAAATGGTTTCCTCTGAACCGATAAATTCAATCGACTATTGATAACCAGTGGGGCGTGCAACCATGCCTCCATGGCCTGGCTACAAATGGTTGAATAGACAGTCCAAGCTATTCATCGATCGGACGACGTTTGTCGAACTGTAACTATCGTCTATCAGGCCTGCCCACGGATGTACATGCAATCTGAGATTGGCCTCGAACACCGAACGCTGTTCACATAGTAGAGAAAAAATCAGTTTGATTCACCAGTAAAATAATTTGTGATAATAAATAAATACATTAATAGATACACTTGTAGCTCATTTTATTGCAAACACTGTAAAAACAAGTGTCAGTGTATAAACAAATTACTTGTAACAATTTACGAATGAGTCGTAGTGTTAACAATCCAATACTCAAACACGTTGATGTGTTTATTTTTCTAGATAAAGACGTGTTGATGTGGGTTAATGAAATAGACACGAGCACGTTTATCTGTTTAATTACAAGAAAAATACGTTTACAGGGAAGTAACACGTTTATTTCAGCAAAGGTGTTTAATTTTAATAGCTAAATGTTTACAGTTAACACAAAGACGCGTTTATAATAGGCATTGGATTTATGGTAGATTTCGATAGTATCTGTGAACGGAAGGCCACTTGCCTGGATTTGATTTTGGTAAGGATTATCCAATATCACATCCACGCCATCAAAATCCCATCCGAGCCAGAAATCACATCCAGGAAAGTCCAAAATCACATCGTGAGTCAGACTTAATCAACATAATCCTGGATGTGATTTCTGGCTCGGATGTGATTTTAATTTTGATAATCCCTTCCCAAATCACACTTAAGGTTCAGTGTCACATCCAGCCTAAGTACCTTTCCATGTCTGAATAGGGAAATCACATCCGGGCCGTTCACAATAGGAAATAATGAAAAACAAAATACCAAAATGAAGAAGCTGACGTCCTGGACGGCCCTGTCCCAAGCAGTGAGAGCTTCACAGGCGAAAAACATGAGTTCTGCTTGCCTGACTATGGTAGCGAACGGACACTCACTGTCGCCGTGCATGTATACCCGTGGTAACTAACGGAGAGATGCCAGATCGACGTTTGTTCATATTTTTAAAACAGATTTACTCATTCTATCAGACTATCAGAGCCATGCCTTATCTGTCTCTTTGTATTCCTGTTTTTCAACGAACCTAGACCAGCCACTGCCCTCCCCAGGATTAATCTGCATATCCATGGCAAATATAATTATACAGTTGATAGAAACTTGAGACAGTATTCTGTTTATAGTGTTTCTTGTCTTGTTTTAAGAGCATACATCTCTTCAAAGAAGAACCAGGCAAGATCTCAAGTTAAGGAACATAATTGTTAATTCAATGGAAGCGGAGGCTAGAAAGGGGCATAAATCCGACCAGTTTATTTACTAGTTTTTAAGTAACACTTTCTGGTCATCGTGACCCAAATTTTGTAAAAAGCGGATCTACCATTTGCAAGCAGGGCCCATTTTTCTGAGAAAGATTAGCCAAAATGTGTACTTTTTCGACCACTAACAATTCTCAGTGCACGCGAACTGGTACGCGTGCGACCTTCACCTTTGAATGAGCGTAACAAACAAAACCATTGAGTTTAAATTCAGTGTAATATGTCGTCATACCGCGTTTTGTTCTTTTTCTTTTTTTTGTATGCTTGCCAAGTTCCTAACAAAACTGGAAAACGGATGACTGAGGTGGGGGGTGCTCTTGTAGGTCTAATGGATGAGTCTGTTAATGGCTGAGGTCTAAAAACTCCCCACTTTGAAAATCGTGACACGAACGCACGTCAATATAAGTTCGACTTCAAAGGGCTTTCTACAGTTTTCATGCGTGTGGATCGCGTATAACGGAAGCGTGCGTATGAGATCCAGCATAGCTCATTATTGTATAGATCTGTTAACCAGCTAACAAGCACTTGCACGGCCTTGAGCTCAGTACGGTGGATGGAGTAGTGTTCCTCGTCAGAAAGTTGAATAGGTAAGATATGTTGACTAAATTACACACTGCAGGTAGCCTATTGCTTTCGGTAATTTGGGGCCTGTTGGTTTCACACGGATCTGGATCACGATCAGTGACCCGTCGTTGGTCCACTGACACCAGAACCCACCTAATGGATGGAGTAAACCAAGTCAGGATCTCTGATCGAGAGTTATATCCGTGTCGAAACAAGCGGGCTCTAAGGCAAGAGCAGCGACATGTGTTAGTGTCAAGACGTTCTACACATTGCCGGGTATAGCAAAATGTCAGGTTCCGCCGTATACATTTGCAAAATTGGCATCGTCCTATCTGATTAGATGACAAACACATTCGATGCATGAACCTATTAGGGAAGTGAACCAGTCAAACCAAAAAATACACATTTTCTACAGAATCTAATTACCTTTTTATCATGTCAAAGATGTATGCATCGTGTAGCAAAACATATACAGTAAAAGAAAACCAAGCAAACCATCTTACATGTCAAATAAACATGAACTTGATGTCTGACACGTATGTAGCCTTGAACTTCAAACGAATCTAACAACAAAACCAAACGTTTTATTTAGTTTCCACGTTCAAGTTTGTAAGGATGCGTGCGGAATTTCAAAATACTCGAGTCAGAAACAGTTGAGTTTTTTCCGCCCCCGGCTGTGAAATAAGCCAATAGAACCCAGCTCTCTTAGGGTTGTGACAAATATTGGTGTTAATAGAAGGAAACTTGTATTGCATTTTTCTAAGCTTTAAAGCGATTTTTGTCTACGGCTTGATCATTGAATCGACAGTGCAACACTATGTGCAATGCTGATAGCCTCACCCCAATTGCGGTATGCAATGAAGTGGAAATTACTGAAAGTTTTGCGTGACACTTTCTACATACGTTAGTGCGAAAATGGTTTGTTTGTCATGTAATTATTTGATGATGTAGTGCTTCGCTTTCATAAAACAAAATCGTCACAGGCTTTGCTTTTACTGGCGACGACTAAGACGAGCAAAGTTGATATTTGTTCCGAAGTACAGATATCTCCATTTAATAATTAGTCAGGAATGCAGATATCTCTACGTCACGATTAAATGCTCAGTTTGCACGTCTAGAACTGTACGTTTCTCTATTTTGTGATAAACTGTCGCCGTTGCACGATATAGACAACCATATCTTTATCCTGATGGCGGTTTGCCACGGCTGCTCGACGCGCAGTCGTTAGAGTAACTTCAGATCAGACTAACAGTCACTCTTCAATCAGAAATTGTCATGGACGTGAGAGACTGGTTCTCTTTCAATTCTGTATTTTTGGCCATTAAACGCAGCTGCCAAGGTCGACTTGGTCGAATGAGGAAATTGTGATGAAAATCAGCCAGTCATGACTGGAGGCCCCGTCAAAGTCAGACGGAATCCCTATCTCAGTGCTAGTCCACTCTCCAAGCTTTTCTTCACGTAAGTGTTAGTCTCATCCATTTTCCTTGCCCAATAAGCCTGCCTTGCATCCCCTATAGTGTATCTGTGAGTTTCTACTTTAAGCCATAGGCTTCGGGATCATTGATAGGGCTTCAACAGTGCATTTTGCTCAATAGCTAAATGGACAATGAACTGACGAATTCGAAGGTCTTGGAATCTGAACAGTATTCCAGTCCTACATCTGTCCGTGGCCTTTATACAAAATCACCCAGGCGGTACTTGTGATAAAACCTGTGGGGAGCTCACGCGAACGCTCCATCAACTGTCAACAGGGACCCCTTTCTGACCCAGTTGTGCACTGCCTTTAAGCTTACGGGTGTTCCCTTTGTGGAGGCGTATGCCAATGATTTCCAATGAATTTGAGACCCTCGATGGTTTGATTGAGATTTTGTCATGCATATGGCAGTGAAAGTCGTTTATCACCTTACATGTGACACGGGTCATTTGGAAAGATGCGATTTTGTCAGATACTGTCTTAATTTTTCCAAAACGCGCTCCCTCAATGAGTTCATGATCATATGTCATTCACGCACAATTCTGTTAATTTCCAGTGTCAATCCTTTTCTTGGTTTTACTTTTGATATTAAGGTGGATAGGACCACTGTTTGAAATCGCTTACAAGAACAGAAACCTCTCCCCTAGCGACCTAGATGATGTATTACCATCGGACGAGTCCAAACACTTGGGGGACAAACTTGAAAGGTAAACTGGACTAACCGGGAACTTATCAAATTGTACCAAATACCTAAAGTTATTACAACGCAATGTTGAGTAAGTTTGATCGAACCGTCTCATTGAAACCGACGAATAAAAATTAATTATGATTACATAAATAAACACAAGTCGACGTTGACTTGGGAAAACTAGCATATGGCCTATACATAATCGTTTATGTCTGAATTCTCACCAGTTACTGGTTAAAAGCCGATGTACTCTTCACTTTCTCTGTCAATACAAAATATTTCAATAAATTAAAGTTTACAAGTCAACAGAAGCATGTGTCAACTAATTCAGTCACTGAATTTGGCAGAATCAAACCAGCCGTTGAACAAAATTAATCCTCGGTGGGTTTTTCTGAATAGGAACTGGCAAATGGCTCCTGTGATCACCCAGGTCCTCTCAGATCAGGTGTTTGGATTTTTCCACCAGTCTATAACAAACAAAACAAAGTTACCAAATGCTGGCTTTACTACTCTGTCGCAGAGAATGGGCGAAGGAGTTGCAGAAGGAGAAGTTAGGAACAAATGCCAGTCTCAAACTCGCACTTTTCCGGACCTTTGGCTGGTCCTACGCCTTCTTCAGCATTTTTGCAGTCGTAGAGGTAACTGTCTCACGGATATTTTTTATTTTCTCTCAACTGTGTGAGTACAATGAGGTAGCACTTTTAGAGGTACGCCAGCGTGTCTACCAAAGTCGATTTCAATAGCCTGATTTGCGTTCATATGGTAGCGGGCGGCATAATTAATTTTAACCTAATAAAAGGTGCACTATTTTAAAGGAAAACCTAAATAGCTCATTTCAGTCTTATTATTCTTCATTACGTAGAAATCCTTGATGAAGTTTTCCAGTGTATATTTCATTTAAAACATTAGCTTGATACTATGATCCCGCAGGAAATAAATGTCGCTGAATTCACAGAGCCTTTTCTTTCATTTTCGGTTTTCCTTTCACAGGAAGTAATCCGCCTTAGCCAACCATTCATCCTAGGTCGTTTTATCGACTATTTCTCACCTGTTCTGGACGTCCAGGTTTGGGAAGCCTATGTCTTGGCTGGTGGAGTCACCATGTGTGCCATAGGGCTCATGTTAGTCCATAGCCCTTTTTGCTTCGGACTTAAGAGGCTTGCAATGAGAATTCGGGTGTCCCTGTGTACCTTGGTCTACCGTAAGGTGAGACAGCTGGTGCCCTGTTGGCAAATAAAAATAAAGGATTTCAATTTTGCTCTTTGTGGGTGAGTTGTCGATTTATATCATGTTAACTCTGTTTGCCCAGAACTAATTCTGCTTTGACAAAAAGAAGCAAAATTGCCTGCCACAATCCTGATACTTTACCGGATTGGATATATTCACATGATAATGACATGAGTAAAGCTCCTAAAAAGTCTCAAATCTCCATATAAGCCATCGGCGTCGCAAGATGTTTCCGGAATGGCGTACGGAAGTGCGTTTTGTCTTCACCCAAACCTATTGATATTAAATTTAATAGTTCATTTGTTGCACTCTGTTTTTTTTAACTTGCAGCATTTTGGACACAAGTGCTGACTGACTAAAATGACTATAACTTGCCTGACAGACTGACCTGACAGACTCACTGTCCTGACTGACTAGTCTGATATCTGACTGACTAACCTGACTGACTGCCTGACCTGTCTGACATGACTGACTGGCCTGACGGACTAACTGTCCTGATGACTATCTGACCTGACTGACCTGACTGACCGATGTACTGACCTGAAGGACTAACTGACCTGAAGGACTAACTGACCTGGATGACTAACCTGACTGACTGACCTGACTGACTGACCTGACTGCCTGTCCTAACTGACCTGACTATCTTGACTCACCCGACTAACGTGACTGACCTTACTGACTAACCTGATTAACAATGACTCACCTAACTGATAGACCTGACTGATCTGATTGACAGAGTGACTCACCTGACTCACCAAACTGACCTGACTGACTGACTGGCCTAACTGACTTGATTGGCTGACCTGACTGACTTATGCTGAAGGAAGTTCCTTCGGGGAAGTTTGGCGGATTTATGATTAATTTAAAAGAGTCCGTATACTTTTTTTCCTAAGGATTTAATCAGTCAATGTTTTATTTTGGTTTAGATGTTGAAACTGGACACCATTTCTACTCGTCAGTCCTCAAGTGGTCAAGTAAATAATCTCATGACAAATGATGTCAACAGGTTTGACAAGGTAAAAACAATGGTAACATCAAAATTTATATTAAAAAAAGGGTTAGTAGCAGTAACCCCCCCCCCGATGCGGAAACAAATGCTTCTCAAAAGGGCAATGAAACTAGCAATACTTAAAGAAAAGTATCCGAGGGAAATTTTTCCAGGAGTTCCAACTGATAACAAACCTGTAGCTGTTGGAAACTACAGGTATGGATTTATAGATTATCGAAACGTTTTGGATGTTCTGAACATTGGATACCGGTGAAAGGTGTGACATTTTTGAAGAATCATAGCTTCCTTTCTGTCTCAATTGTTCCTCCAGGCCTTGATCTCCTTGAATTATCTGTGGTTGTCTCCGCTAAAAGCAGCTGCAGTCTTTAGCCTTCTCTGGCTGGAGATTGGATGGGCGTGTCTCCCAGGATATGCTGTTCTGGTCATTCTTCTGCCTGTTCAAGCCGGAATGAGCACACTTTTCTCCAAATTCAGGTACCTGTTGGAATGTCAGGAGCTGGTAAAAACTCCAATACAACCCGATTTTTGAGAACAAGTATTTATGTAAAATATACTCAAAGTAGTTGAAGCCTGGGAGGTGGTGAAAGAATATTAGATTGTCAAATTTAGCATGCAGGAATAAACTCTCGTTATCTCAAATGTGAAGTTTCATTTGATGTAGTGTTTTGATATTATGGTTATTTAACTTTCGTAGCTTAACGCAATGTGTGGCCCGCGTGTACTGACCGCGTCAATGGTAAATCATGGATTTTAGATGGCGTCTCGCCAAACGACACGCTGTGCAAATCAGTGTGTCTGAGTTTCACAAAATTGGTACCAAAACGCAATATCTGTTACTGGTTTAGAGGCTGAAGCAACGCACTGCGATGATATTGGGGAAAAAAATGTTGCGGGCCTCGTCTGTTTCAGGGTTACCAATATCCCTAATTCGTTTGTTTGTTCGTTGGGAAGTTACCTCATTGAGTCTTTAATTGTTGTTGTTCTGTTCTTACTTCGAAGCATTTCACGTTTAAGCAAGCGTTACCATTAAAGAAGTAGTAACTCCCTACCGAGAATAGATATGAAGAAATTTGACGACATTTTCTCATTTTTAGAAACAATTAGCCTTGCAATTAACAGATTGGTCGGTGAACAATAATTTACCGGAGATCCTGTACTTTTTTGTCATATCCAAGTGATGTGCTCGACCAAACAGCATAATCTAAAACGATAATGTTCATACAGGTGATTTTTTTCAAAAACAAAGGCAGTTTGAGGAAATGCAAATCAACATTCACCAAAGGTTTACCGAACAAGCAAATCTTAAATGCCCTCAGGGTTTCGCTTTTTTATGAACAGAACACGTCTGTACCGGAGTATATGGGGTCTGATTTCATGAGTTTGATGAATACTTCATTTAATAGACATTTATTCAATGTTGAATGGTCGTTAGAAAGCATCATGGGGAGTGAACTTCATATGTCATTCTAGCTTTAATCGTTTCTGGTTTGTTGTAGCAAAACAGACTGGTAGAGTTTAAAAACAGGTACACTTAATATGCCAAAGTTAGTGTGTTATTACAGGAGCATCACAGTGACTTCACTACTTGTAACTTTAACAGGAGGAGGACAGCGTCTTATACAGACAAGCGAGTTGGCGTTATGACGGAGATCATTCATGCCATGCGTGTCATCAAGATGTATGCTTGGGAAGAGCCATTCAGCGACCTGATACAGAAAATCAGGAAGTGAGTACTACAAAAGGAAGCATTAATGTTCCCTATTTTTTCCAAGATGATCAAACATGCATCAAGAAATGGGGTTAATGTTAAAGTATAGTTAATGTAGCCTTTGACACAACCAAATCATGCAATCAAAATTGTGAATTAAAATCGCTAAATACCATAAAGACCTGAGACTCACAGGAAAAAAGTTATCTTCTTACATTTTAACTAACTTAGCCAAAACCTTCATGATCACAGTCTCTGCCAAATTAATGGCTATTAACCCTCAATAATAGACAGCGATATGCCCTACAATCAAAATAAATTGAAGAAACCCCAAAAGCCTCAGTAACCCCCGTGAAGCAAACTTATTTAAAGAAAAATCTTAAAATGCCTTATCCAGGGCAGAGATGAGCAAGATCATCCAGGCCTCCTATGCGGTGGGCGTCAACCTCATTCTCTCCATCTACGGCAACCGTCTCCTGGATGTCTGCATGATTTCCACATATGCCCTCACTGCCCCGAGGATATACGTCTCCACGGTGTTCGTCGTGGTTTCATACTGCGCTACATTGCGAGGATCATTCCTAAGGCATTTCCCCAGGGCAGTGCAGTTACGATCAGAGTGCCTGGTGTCCATCAAAAGAATCCAGGTACGTAGAAGAAGTGGCTCTGAATTTTAAGGATCGGATTGAAAATAAAATAATGTTCATTGCTTTGTTTCCACTAATGTGTCAAAGCCCTTGCTGCACTTGAGAAGCTCTGTGCTGAGCTGACGATGTTGACGAATGTCTGAAAGGAGTGATTTCTCAACAGAATTTTTTGCTGCTGTCTGAGATCTCCCTACCATCGGCTGGACCCTCGAACCCAAATCACGATAAATCAGGAATTCATGTCCAAGACTTAATGGGCTCCTGGGATAGGGTATGTACCACTTTAAGATTTCCTTCAATTTGCTTTTCTGGTCCTAAACTAAACATACCAACTTATTCTTTTTTTATAAATTAGCTGTCTTCATATTCAGACTCGTGCAATTTTTAAACAGAAAAATGCTGTCCAGGATCACTTATACGCAGACGATGTAAAAGCACGTTACATGCGCCCAGGCCTTGTTCCACACGAGCTGCTGGTCGGTCAATGTTTACATTATTAATCAGTAGTTAGGTTGGCTATCACTGCTACCTCCTTGTGTCCACAACACTTTCACATAAATGACAGACATAAAACATCCTACAGATCGTGTGGAAGAAATAAATCTATTCTTTCCTTGCAGAATTTAGACAACCCTTCACTGAGCAACGTCAGTTTTGATGTTTGTAAGGGTGACCTGTTGGCTGTGGTTGGCCCAGTGGGATCTGGCAAGGTCAGTTGTAATTAGGCAATCCCAGAGTTAATTATTCATAAATGGTCATGCATATTCATCTTCCGGAATCGTGCAAATCTGAAAACTTTACTTCGCGGAATTTTTTTTCAATTGTTTTTCAATTGCGTAAGATTTGATTCAATAGCTGCCCCCTGGGGGAAAGCTTAGGCCACCACCCTTCTTGGTCCTTTTTGTTGTATAAACCATAGTGTCTAAACTAGTTCATTACCAAAACAACGTCTTTGGAATGCCGTCCTTATCCTGTATCTTTGAGGACTATGGTTTGAAAGTTCTTTGTCGTTTGAACCTCGATTGGTGAATTTAGTGCTGAACTGTTGCTGAAACTTTTGTATTGAGATTTTTCTTCTAAGACTTTTCTTAGGAATAAATTCGCTTGGGTAATCTTGAGTTCAAAATTTTACCAACAACGGATAACAATGTGAACAGAAAAGGTAGCTGCAACCAAACCGTCTCCTATTGCTGCGAACATTAACAGAAGCCTACACCATCTAGGATGGCCAGGGGGATACTTTATTGGCATGATACACAAAAGATAATTGAGGTGGAAGGTCATCATTTCCCGTCCACCAACCTAATCGATATCAAAGTTTGAAAAATTCAAAGAAATTATAGTCTTCGATTTGCATCATAAACCTTCGATCATTAGTTGTGTGGATTTATCAATCCCTAGCTTTTTCTTGAACCAGTAATATTCTCATGTCCCACAGTCGAGCCTTCTCATGGCTCTCCTGAAGGAATTACCAACAGTCTCTGGCAAGGTGAATATAGATGGTCGGCTGGCCTATGCTAGCCAGGAACCCTGGAACTTCAGTGGCACCGTCCGGCAGAATATCACCTTCGGTAAAGAATTCGAGAGGACAAAATACGCCCGAATCCTGGAAGCCTGCGCTCTGACTAAGGTGAGAGTTCAGAAAGGGTGGAGATTGTTTCTCAGTTTAAAGCAAAGTTGTAGAATGTTGCACTGTGATTGGCCTAGTTGTGATTTTCCTACAAAACTGGAAAGGTGCTTAAGGTGGATGTGATATTGAACCCAGAATATGATTTTGGCAGGGAATATCCAAAATCACACCAGAATCGGAATTGCATCCAGGATTATGCTGTGAACGACGAACTCAAGATGTGATTTTGGCCGTTCCTGAATAGTGATTTCTGCATCGGATGCGATGTTGGTGGTTTGGATGTGATATTGGATGATCGTTACCAAAATCAAATCCAGAGAAGCAGCCTTTTCATTTATGTGTTGGGAAATGACATCCAGGCCACTCACATTGTTATATTGTTCCACATGTTCCGCTTTTTAGTTCAACAAAACAAATACTACGGCCGGTACATACGCATACATGTGTGTTTAGTTTAATGAGCGGTTAATGTTAACCTATTTATAATCCTTGATTTGTGACATTTTTCTCATACAATTGCCAAGAACTGCTTACATCGGGGCTAGATAAAGCTATCTGCAAGTGGCCACAACCTTTCATGCTCTTTTTTGCTGTATAAACTGTAGTGTCTAAACTAGTTCTTTACCAAAGGGCCGATGTTTGGAATAGCGTGACCATGGACAAGTGGTGCTGTCCTTACCCTGTATCTTTGAAGACTATGGTTTGCAGGTTTGAACCTCGCTTGGTGAATCTAGTGCTGAACTGTTGCTGAGATTTTTCTGCTGAGACTTTTCTCAGGAATGAATTTGCTTGGGTTATCCTGAGTTCAAAATTGTACCAAAACAGATAATAGTGTGGACAGAAAAGGTAGCTTCATCCAAACCGGCGCCTATTGCTGTGAACATTAACAGAAGACTACACAATCTAGGATGGCCTGGGACATACTTTATTGGCATTATACACAGGGGTAATAATTATCCATTGCCTTAAGCCTTAAGTGTTGCTTTTGTAGCAATATCACTAACCACAACCGTCCTTTATATTTGTTGTTCTTTCAACAATAGGACATCAAAGCATTCCCAAGTGGTGACCGGACCATCATTGGCGAGAGAGGCGTGACCCTCAGTGGAGGTCAGAGGGCAAGGGTGAACTTGGCCCGAGCCTTGTACGATGATGCTGACATCTATCTGTTGGATGATCCGTTGAGCGCCGTCGACAGTGAAGTAGGAAGGCACATCTTTGACAAGTAAGTTGGTTGGACCAGATTTAAGCAATCAATTTACCCAAAGTTCACAAAAAACCCATTTTGGAAAACTACTTACCACCAAATTTTGGTACAATCTTTGTGTTTCAATTCGCGCATCATTGTCTACTTTGATTAAATTACTGGTGACTTCATTGTCTCGGTACCTCTTTCTCTTAATACAGATGTGTCATGGGATACCTCGCCAATAAAGCCCGGATACTTGTCACTCATCAGTTGCAGTTCTTAAGCACCGCAAACAATATCCTTGTTTTAAAAGAGGTGAGCAAATCTGTATCTTGATCCTTAAAGTATTCCTTGACCTTTCCCTCAGGCTTGTCTTAGAAGTTACATGGTTACTTAAAGCTAAGGGTGCGCCATCATGGCTAATGCGTACTTCATGGAAACATGAGCGTAAATGTTAAGCCCTTTCAAAACTCATTTTTAGTGGCTGAAAAACAATTTCATCTATTTTCGGGCTGAGGATCTACCAACCTCTGTATCGTGGCCCAAGTAGAAATACTGTACTATTTGCTATACCTTTCCAGGGTCACATGGAAGCCTTCGGCCCCCTGAGTGACCTTCACCAGAAGGGCATAGACTTTGCATCCCTGATGAAACAAGATGAGGAGGAGGATGAAGAAGATGACGATGTTTTTGGAGACGAGGAGCATCCTGGCTTCACAAGACAACGGAGCAAAAAATTCAGCGTCTGCTCTCAGATTGTGAGTATTGAAATATGGGAAGAGACGAAAGGCGATCAGAGGTCCCAGTGGTTGTGGGCACTGGAATTACATTTAGGTGTCTGTTTTGTGTAAAGTATATACACGTTATATTTTGTCACAACGACCGTAGAGGTCCACGACCTTGCCAGGAAGGTATGTGAATGGAAATGGAAGATGGAAGAGGTGATGTAGTACCGCAAGTCACTCTGACGTATTGGCCTTTCACAAATAAAAGTAATGATCACACATGATCCACTCTTTTGTAAAAGAAAATTACCTTGAGTGAGAGAATCGTAGAGATTGGTTTATAAACCAACTTTGTTCTTAACGAAAAATACTGTTGTGACAGAGTGTCAAAGATGACAAGTCGCACCCCTTGGAAGTCAAACCCTTCAAAGAGGAGCATAGCAAAGAGGGAGACGTAACCCTCGGGGTCTACTACAAGTACTTCAAATCTGGCGCTAACTTCTTCATGATGCTGCTCCTGCTCATCTCCTTCTTGGGAACCCAGGTACATGTTGACATTTTTACTTTGAATTTACAACAGACACTGACAGTAGAAGGAATATTATCTCACTTTACGCTCAGTAACCAATAGAGGTGTAGGCTAATTCAATAAAGTTAAGATTTTATTGTCATGCATTTATTTTCACTCCACGTACATCATACCGTATTCCACTTATTTTATACTCAACTTTTATTATTTCCCGTCATCCTTCTTTCAATCAATCAATGGGGTGCTTTCAATTCTTCACTTAGACTGCCTACATCCTTGCGGATCTCTGGTTGGCTTTGTGGACCGTGGAAGAGGAGAAAAAACACGCCATGAATCTGACTATGCTGAATCAATCCCAGTTGGTGAGTGATTGGGTGAACTGAGAAAACCTCTAACCCTAGCTGTGTTGATGCCTAAACACTCCCAGATCTTACAAATCCCTAAAAGGAATCTTTGTAGGATTCTGAACGATGATGAAATGTTGAGCCTTGCCGGTGTCGCGTATTCTTTTTCACAAAGCATTCTTCGCTTAGAAAGTGTACATTTCATTTGATGTACCTGATGTAAGGAACGATACTTCGTGATACTCACAACTGTGAGGTATCTTGCCCATTTATCATTCTTCAGTTCACGAGACGCAGTGAGATCACCTAAGTGAAGAGAGGGATTGACGATGAGGATTAAGGATGGGGTGCATTGTATTGGATTGGTATCGAAAGGTAATAGGTGGATTGATTTGTTGATTCAAAGATTGGGATTCTTCATGTCTTCAGATCATGAGAAAGCTGGCACCAATGGCATGTGAACTTGTAGGTACTGTATTTTCCCCCACTTTTTGTCATCCGTAGGAAGATAACGAGGACCTAGATGACGGCAACAACCTGCTGAAGTTCAACTTCGATTTCACCACGGCTGAGGGCGCTTTCATCTATGCTGGCTTCATTGGTCTGCTCTTCCTGCTTGCTATCTTCCGATTGATTCTGTGCTTCAGCATCATGGTCAAGTCCTCCCGCAACATCCACAACAGAATGTTCAAGGCCATCATCCACTCCCCGATATTGTTCTTCGACACCAATCCCACAGGTGTGTGTGCTAATCTGGTTTGTATCGGCTGCTTCTAGTAATGCTATTGCCCCTTTCCCCAACAACAAGTGACTCAGCGCCAGTGACCCAGGAAAGAGACGATGAAGGTGTGACCTCCAAGCTGCACCGAGAGAGGACTCATTTTCTTAGCAACAGATTCTCCTTTGGTAGCAACTGCGCATCGCTGCTTCACGAACGATAATGAAACGCAAGTGCAGAAGTCGCATTGCTATCAACAAAATGAGCACACCTGACCAACATGGCTCTTTCTCAACCGATGAGTGGGTGCTTCTGCTCAGGGCAGATACTAAGTTTCATCTTTGTCTCGTCTGACTTCAGGCTTCAGTGGTTATCTTTTGTGTCTCCTAAAATGAAAACGTCAGGCGCAACGCAGCCCTAGTTTCTACCGTAGAAGCACCCAGTTATCTTGATGACCCAAATTTGCTGTGTCTGGTTTCATTTGATACTAACAGTCAACTTTTCCCAAGCGTATTTCGCACCTAGATGTGAATGTCTAATTGACGACTTGGCCGGTGTGGAAAGAATCCAGTGCGTGTCACCAGTATTTAAAAAGTGTGTTCCCAGGGTTCTTTACGGATTTTGTTAGGTTTATGCTGTTTTTAAATACCAAGTTGAAAAACGTTTCCCCCAGTGAGTACTGTGTGTTGCTCATTACCTTCATCCTGAGAGTTCATATCAGCTGCACAGAGTGCCAGATAAAATGTCTGATCGAATGAAAACTATCAGCTACTCACTGGGCTGTGCATTATTGTTGGATTCTTTACCAGGACGTATCTTGAATCGCTTTACCAATGACATTGGTCTGATGGATGACCAACTGCCCCCGGCATTTTTCGATTTCCTTCAGGTAAGGTATATACCCTAACGTTTATTACACGGCAAATTTCACAGGGGAGGGATGAAAAGTTGCACAAACAAAATTAAGGTAGACAAACTAGACATGGATAAGTGGCCTTATTAGAACTCATTGGATCATTAGAAACAGAAGTTGTCTTATTTTTAAACAAACCCCACAAAGGACGTTTTTCTTAGATTTTCGAGTGACAGAGCCTGACAAATTAACAAGACCCGTTTCAACTGACTGTTTCATTTCCCCCAGCTATCGCTGCTGATCCTGGGTACACTCGTTCTAACCTGTATTGTCAACTACTACCTCTTAATCCTGCTGTTGCCTCTTGTTATCATCTTTGCAATCTTGAAGTGGTATGCGCTGATAGCCACAAGGGCCATCAAACGTCTTGACAGTGTCAGTAAGTATCTCTGATCTGGACCAGATCCTAGTATCCCTTGAAGTGCTGGGAATTTTGAGGGGTAGCGTTGGGAATCCTTAGTAAAGCTAGGGGCAGAATCTGGGTCACATTGTTCTTTGTGCTGGTTTCTTTTGACGGCCAGAATGCCATTCCCTGCACAATCGTTCCTTGTGATTGAATGAAAACTGTCACTGAATAGAGTGCATTGGCCCTGTAAATCATCAAGAGAAGACCCCGTGAAAGCTACAGAAGAGTAAGGACATGTGAAAGAAAAGTAATGGACAAGTTGTAAGACGCTAGGGAAAAGATACAGAGAAAATGTTTGCTCGTCACAAAAAAATGGCGGAATGGTTCAATTACTCATTTCCACACCTCAAAAATCTGGGGTGATATATACCGAAATCCTCCAGGGATTCACGCCCAAGCCTGAATATCACTTAACATGTTGTAATATGCAGCATTCCAGCAGATTTTAAGTGGTGAACAAATACAAAGCCTGGCCACAACCTTTAGCAATTTCCAAAGGAAGAAACATTTCGCACTGCGCAAACAGGCAAATGCCTTCTAGAAGGTGTATTTGGCTCGAACTGTTGCCACTGTTCAAAGTTTACAAGCTGGGGCAGTGATTATGAACACCGTACGTTCCATTACTCTGGAGCTTTGAGCTTTTTCAACTGTCTCAAACTGGACATCGTACTTTTTTGCAGCCCGCAGTCCCGTTTTCTCCCACACCACGACCTCCTTTCAGGGCCTCAGCACCATCAGAGCCTACAACAAGCAAGCGCAGTTCATCCAAGACTTTCAGCGCTACCAGGACCAGCACTCAGAGGCCTGGTTTGCCTACCTGGCGGCCAACCGCTGGTTTGGTCTGAGGCTGGACATCATAGTGGTAATCTTCACTGCTGGAGTCGCCTTTGTGTCTGTTCCTTTCAAAGGCAGTGAGTATTTAGACTCGAGTAGTTTCCAGAGGGTTACTAAGCTCAATGAATAGTGAATAACATTGTTAAGACCACTTTGTTTAAATTTTATGGCTCCTTGCTAAATTTGAAATACAACTTGTCTAAGACGACGAAATTACACTGTTTTAAACTCTCCCCTTTCTTCTCTGTTCTTAGTTATTGATGCTGGAATAATTGCGATCATCCTCAGTAATACCCTTCCCTTAACCACCATCTTCCAGTTTGTAGTTAGACAGAGTGCTCTGGTAGAGAATCAGGTTGGTGAAGGTTCCTGGTGTTTTGGCTGTGCTAATTTTGAACACTTACTTGTGTGATTGTTGGAAGCTGTGGCGTGATTCTGCGCAGGGAACGGAGGGGGGTGACTGAAATGAAATCATTGCCCAGCCAAGGGAATTAGAAAAACTGGCAGTTGTGAAAGACACCGAATGATACTGAGGGCGGTGTTCATGATACAGATCCACAGCTATGTAGCGTCAACTTCATGCTTTGGAACTAAAAGGGCTGCTCGTTGTGTGTTCAGCACAGTTTGCAGCTATTGGATATAGTGCACTGAAGCAAAATCCACCATGTTGGTTCCAACAACTGACACATTCATGTCGCAACTCTCTCCATAAACAGCTTTGTACGGATCTACATCTTGTGGGCACTTTCAACCCTTTACATTACATGTAAACAGCGTAGTTAATTCAATAGCATATTCCCCCGATCAAAATTAGGGAAGAATTACCTCAAGCACCTTGGGATTTACGTCCTCGGTGGGAAGAAATATTAAGATGACGACTTCGTGCCAAGTTTGTATGAGTTAAAACGATTTTTGGCGGTTCATGCACTGCTACAATTAGCAAGGATTGTAACTTGGGCTAGACCGGAAATACTACATTACTGTAAACATTACATTTTTAGAGCCTCAGATTCAGCCCAAGTCTTTCAAAGTCTTCATTTGTTTCGTCTAGATGACATCTGTGGAGAGGACCATTGAGTACACGACGCTTGAGCCAGAAGCCCCACTTACAAACGTGAAGGCCAAACCGCCACCAACATGGCCGCAGTGTGGAGCCCTCACTTTCAACAGTCTGTCTCTCAGCTACTCAGAAGACAGTCCAAGAATCCTAGAAAATATCACCTGCAAAGTCGCTGCTAAAGAGAAGGTATTCTCAGCCATCAGAGTATGGTGCCCTACGATCATAATTGAGATCACTTCGTAGTCTGTTAACACTTGCAGTTCCAACCTATTTGCTGGCCTCGTCATTTTACAATGTATAATTATTTCTTCTTAATTATTTTGTCATTATTAAGACGTCTAATATTATCTGCATGGGACATCAAACATTTTCAGTCCCATCAAGTGGAGTCGAACTGTTTTTATAAGTGTCTTGTTAATTGTTGATTTCCAAATATAGCATTCTCCTGAAAACATCAAGAAACAGAATCATTAAAATGTATGCTCAAATTCACCGATGTCACTTATGAAAATGTACAGGTCGGCATTGTTGGTCGGTCCGGCGCAGGCAAGAGCTCTCTGATCACAGCTCTCTTCCGATTGGCTGAACCCAGCGGTGTCATCATGCTGGATGGCATCACCACGTCCAATGTGGGCCTGCACGACCTCAGGAACAAACTGTCAATCATTCCACAGGTGGGTGGAGCATAGATAATGATCGACCAATAGAATTGACTATCATTAAATAGACTTGTCGGGCTGGATTTTCATTTTACTCTGCGTCGCCTCATGGAATATAATTATTTCATCTGTCACTTCATGGACTAAGTTTTTCATCCCCTTCATACATATTCATTCTTTATTCCATTCTATTCCATTCTGTTCTTAGTCCAGCGTCCCCTGGAGTATGTATGAAAATTTCGATCATTTTACTTGTATATGAACAACAGCCATTAAATCTTGCACTAATCATAAAAACCTACCTTCAGCCATTAAAATTTAAAATTGTGACTCCTTGAATCTTTCTTGGCTAGGACCCTGTCTTGTTTACCGGTAGTTTGCGTTATAACCTGGATCCCTTCGACCAGTACTCGGACATGGAACTCTGGAATGCTCTGGATGACGTAAGCTGCACCGTCCCTTTGACAAATTGCACCCTTTTGTTGCTGAAATTTAATTTCTCTCTCTTTGAGTTCAGTTGATGGAAATACTCTAGGCTGGCCCACATGATCAACCTTTATGGGTGTCATCAGGTGCTTACAAATTTTGTAAGTTAGCTAGAGGGCGCACGTCCAAAAGGTCTGAAAAGACAGTCTCGTACGATGAGTAGTATGGGAAAAGCAGTGGAACTTTTGTGCTTCACTGCAGACATTCCAACTCGAAAGGGTTAATTCAACTTTCATAAGAGGGCCATTGTAAGTGACTTTGCCTTAACGTCCTTCCTCTCTGTCCAATTTTTATCTCTTCTTTTGAATTTTCCACGAATAATATCTTTTGGGATTTAGTATTTTACATAATCTCGGCACATCTGATTTTCAACTACTCTGCGTGACGTGTACAGGTTCAATTGCGCTCGGGTGTGCAGGACTCAGCCGAGAAACTCAACATGGAGGTGGGTGCGTCAGGCTCCAAATTCAGCGTGGGTCAGCGTCAGCTGATCTGCCTGGCACGGGCGATACTCCGGCAGAATAGGGTGCTGATAATGGATGAGGCTACGGCAAACGTGGATCCGGGGTAAAAGAAGGATTAATTGTCTAATAAAACGGAAAATAAAATCTCCAGAAAGACGAACTGCTAGTAAAGAAGAGAGTCTTCAAATTTGTATCATTACATGACTGACATCTGTGATTCCCATATGTCCAAACATGTCCTTCAAACTGGAGTATTGAAATGTTCCCGTTTATCACGAAAAAAAAACTTTACTCTAAATCTACCTACGCCTTGAGTTTTAAGAAAAACCTTCGTCTTGATTTGGGGACAGATCGGAAACATTTGCCCATCTTAGACCAAAAAAGGGTACACGATAAAACGCAAGTATTAACAGTGGATCAGGACAGCTCTTTTCCCAGGGACAAATCCAGGAATATTTCTTTTGAGGGGTCATGCCAGAGACTTTTTCATGTCTTCTTTCTGCGGACAATTAGAAACAATGAAGAAATTACATAACATGCGTAGTGGTTCACTTTTGTGCACTTTTCGACGGAGAATTATTTCTCGTATAACTTAATTTTTTTTATATTATTTCCTCATCTCTCAGGACCGATGCCCTGATTCAGAAGACAATTAGAACCAAATTCCTGAACAGCACCGTGCTGACAATAGCACACAGACTGCACACCGTCATAGACAGTGATCGCATCATGGTAAGATACAGTGCCACACTGCAGTCACAGATTTTAAGAGAGAGGATGATTGACACACGAATTTTGGTCTGGCAAAAGAATTTTGGTATAGTTGCAGAAATTTGATTTCCATTATTGTCAACTTTCACCCGACGAAATGTTGTAGTTTCACTCCAGTTTGATTCTTGAATCCGGGGCCATATATAGTCATTTTTGCAATGTACAGAATCCTTTAAAACAAATCTCTATCAAATTGATGTCAATCTCAAAATCTTGATCCAAATCCTTCCAGGGATGGGATTTGAAATCATGTAACAATAGGGGAAGATTCTCTACCACCGGGAGTCACAACACAACAACCACAGAAAAAGATCCTTTGAGTGTTGAAAGCAGTCAGATCTTCTTCATCAACGAACCCTGCTTACTTTGATTATAATTTGTAGGTCTTGGATGCTGGTAAACTTGTTGAGTTTGACCACCCGTACGCCTTACTCCAGCGACCAGACAGCATGCTGAGCAGACTGGTGGAGCAAACGAGCAAGGCGGAGACCGCTTCCCTAGTGGAGGCGGCTCGTCAGTACTTCAACCAAAAAGGGTTGACGGGGGTGAGTTTGCAGTTTGGTTTCTCTGTGAATCATTCGTGAAACCAAAGATGAATATTTCAATTTTCACTTTCAAATGAAATTGAATAATAATGTCAATCGGCCCTTCCTGTGAACAAAAATCTGACCCTTACAGTACAGAATCCTTGCATGCAAATTACCTTTTCAAAGATTTATCCATACAAACTGAAACATTCAGTGTTTTCTCTTTTCTGTTGCAGATATCACCTTCCTCAGAATCGAAACCAAGCCCCACCCACGAGAATATGGAACAAGCCAAGGTTGACGCTGTCTCCAGTGGAATATCCTCTATGGTGTTTTTTAACGAAGGATTTGAGGATGTCCCACTCGACGGAATAGGGGATTCCACCGACAAGACACCTGAAGGGGAAAGTTAAATCTAACCTTGAATTCAGGATGTTCACTTCATCTGATTAATCAAGCCGCACGCCCGATACACAACTGTGAGAACGTGAACTTTTTGACATGTTCTGGAGTTGAGCATTACATGCTAGATAATTCATTTTATTGGTTTGGAACTATAAACGGTTTTACATTAAATCACATCTTTAAAACCTGTACAGACAAAGTTATAGCGCTGTTGAGAAAATGCTCGCTGCAGTAACAAGCTCAAGCGTAATAAGCTAGGAACCATAGTGGCAAGAAATATAAAATGCATGTCACTTCAGTTGGTAACCAATCCTTCCCAGACCACTATTTTCTGTCCTTAGCCAATTTTGGTGTTATAAGTCAATTATTGTTATTGGGTCCAAATTAAAAAATCTGCTCTTTTTCCGAATAACTAACAGTTTGTTAAATTTATTCTATATCTCTGTTCATTTTAACAATGCTTTCCATGCGGCGTTATAAATTATGTATCTTTCGTCACTTTTGTATGTTAATTTTGTTCCATTTCTGTTCATTAAACATGTATTCATTAATTTCTAAAAATGTTTTCCTGGCGATATTGCTGTGTCCCAATTGATGGGTGATGATGCTCCGCAAGATTACAATTTTTAATTTGGGGCTTTTGTACACTTCTGGAATGAAAACAAAACCAGAAACAGACCCCTCCAAAATCGCCTGAGTCCATTGCCTCTTCGCCTCGCTCTCTATGAAACCTGCCCTTGGTATTAGTTTGCGCTGTTTTTTTTGGGGGGGGGTTCATTTTTAAAAGCCAATATGTTATACAGCCAGCGATTGCAGATGTACATCAGATACGTCAAGTTGTTGGGCGCGGGGCTTGAAATAAAAATGTTTTTGTACAATTTATCTCTATGTGTCATCAGTGTTCCGATTTATTTCATTCCAACTTCAACACCCGTGACTCTGCCTTAGTAATCTACAAAGTCTTTCTTAATCTCAATTTTCGGGTATTACAATTGGCATGTTGTCGCAAGTGGCACAGTTTGGCTAATGAAATCGTTGGTATCTTGTGAAGTTGAAGAAAATGGACTCCGATCAAATATAACACCTCGAGAACCAATACCTTATAAAACGGTCCAATGAATCTGCTCTCCAAGATCCACAAATTTCAATGCGACAACTGCTCATAATGCACCGACGGACATAGTTGGGCCATTTTACACAGACTGGGAAGCTATCAGTGCTAGAAGGCAAAAGGAAGAGATCGACAGGTCTGTATGGTGCACCGTAACTCGTGACAACGGGCTAAATAATGTAAATGCTGGCATCAAGCCTCTTGCGATTTAAATTTGAATAAAAATCTGGTACACTGAGCTACCTAATTGAAAATATACATAACAATTCGAATTCCTCATAATAAAGATTAATAGTTAAACAGATCAAATTCATCATTTAAGAATACACTGAGTGGGGCAAATTATTGTTTTCACTCACCTACCAAGAACTTATTATTTCTTTATTTTTTGTGCGATTGCAAATTATTTAGTTTGCCCAAGAAACGAATCGGAGAATGGGGCCAAACTCAAATTTGGTTTTTAACTTTGAGAGAAAAGCATATGCTTGAGATTTATGCACTGGAATTAACTGGAGCTTTATATCAAATTTCACTTTTCACAAATTGCCCAAATCAAATTGCCGTTAGCCCCACTATATGTACAGGCAACAACAAAAGTGGACCACGTTCTGCAGGAGGCTGCCAATAATCATGGGCCGTTGAAAGTACTCGGGCTTTAATGGAGAAATGATGCTCGCAACCCAAGGTTCAATGACTTCGGCCATTTTGCTCCAATCGTGGAGAACATTCTATAGAAAACGAGCCACGCGGTCGAGCTCGATCCACGCGTCAGTTGAAAAAGTCGTGTCCTGAATAAACATCGAAAGAAAATAACCAAATGAAAGNCTCAAATTTTAAAGAGAACCGCCAAATCGAAAACTCAAATTAAAAGAGAATGAATTATAGTACAAAAGGTCAGTTTTTATTATTTTATTTATTCCATTCTTCAAAGTTCCCCATACTGTGAAATTGGCACGTGTCCATTTCCCCCCTAGAATATTGATCGTCATGATAAGCTCCTCAGAACTGTATAATATAATAACAGCTCCATAACATATCAATTGCCAAGTACATATCTGGGCTCTAAAGCATTACCCTTCGTCGTCGAAAAAACGTGTTTTTCCCTAATTCGTGGCTCTGATTCCCCTCAACCCTGAAAGATCCAAGTTATTTAGCCCATCTCACAGCCGGGGGCAGATTTGCCCCTCCTATAAGAACTTGGCTGTGTGCCAAGCTCGATGTTTTTTTATACAGATTCTCCTTATCATTATTAATGTGAATTTTGAACTCAATCGAACGTTTAATTTGTTACGATCATTTTGAAGTTCATCATCCAACTCGGGAAAATAGCGCGCTGTGAGAGAACAGTTTTCCATATTTTGCAAAAATAGGGTGAAATGACTGCAAAGAGTTATTAAAAAAAACCCAAAGGCACAACTCCTGGAAAAACGTACTGCGGCGTTATTGGCAAAAATGTCGGGGGAGGGGGGTGGACTCTGTCCCTCTCTTTTTCGTATTGAAGGAGCTTTCTTTGAGGGCGCTATTTATGTTGTAGCTGGAATCGGCCCCGGGGGCGCTTTAATTACAGACTGTCGAGCATGTGCAAACCAGCTAGCTGAGCAGAGGCACAGTGAGTGGACCAAGCGTGTTGTCAGGCCACGAAATTAAGCTTTTGGTACACTATTCAGCAAAGGGATTATAATGTTTATTTGAATTAGAATAAAAGGGAAGAGTGCATTTTTAGATTATGTAATTTTTGAGAATGTACGCGTGAAGTCATTGAGTCATGTACTTCACTACGTACATGTAAGCCTATTGCCATGTTGGATTGGAATGGTCTGACATGTCTAATTGCTGCGTCACGTGTGTTTTCTATGTAAACGAGTTGGTTTTTTCCATCCCCCCCAAAGACTTTTGTTGACATGCTTTTGTTCCTGACAGCTATAGGTCACTCTAGAATATAATTACTGGCGTCCATATATCATGTATATGGAACGCTTCCCGTACATGTACTGATGTAGTTAGCCCCACTAGTGTGGCACAGACTCTCGCTCCTGATCCATCCTTAGCCACACATCCGTATGCGCAATTTCCTGTCGGCGTACTGAACATTTTTGGCGCACCCACTTATAATCGTGGGTGCAATTTCTTTTGCATATGAACATGATTCTTGACCTTTCCATTTTCTAAATACCATTTATTGAATGATTTCACTCACGTTATTCAGGTATTTTCCAGTCTTTTTTCCTTTATCCATTCAATCTAACGGGCTCACTCTCATAGTTGCCATCTTTAAAATAAGGTCGTTGAGCATTACGTCACTTGACCCCTCATCGTTGCAACGGCTGATCCGTGCCACACTAGTGGGGCTATGATGTAGTCAGCCCAGCACTCACTGCTTGATCAGGCAAGAAAGGCACATGTAGGCCTACTAGCTATTGCACTGGTAGTTTAGCTGTCTTTCCAATCACTGCATTACGGTGCAGGTTTTGTATCCCAAGAACTGATGAAGCAAGTCTGAAGTTCGTCATCCACTGTGTTCCCACAGACTGCAGAGCTTGGCGGATGACCAAAACCAACCTCGCAGTTCAGAAGGTACATGTAGCTGTACAACATTTGAACATTTTGAGGAAAGAGTTCCGTAAACGGACACATTTGATATCCCTATGCACATGGCCTACATGTACACCGTATCTGAAGAAAACCTGAATGTTTTCTACAGTACAGGTCAGAATTCAAGCTGAAATGCTAACATGATCAATGAACCTGACACGCTGTTCAATACACGCTTTGCTGTTTTTACCATGCATGTACATTGCTTGTCCGATGCACGATAAACCTGACCCCGGACCTCATTATCTCGGAAGGGCTTGTGACCGCAGACCTCAAAGGTCACCGACAAGGTGTAGTGAACCAATGCACTCGCAGAGCCGTCACTCTAGCTTCGTCTGGGTACATGTCCAGTACACTGCATGGCAGCGCACCGAATAAGTGAAATCACGTACATGTAGCGCCTGGCTGGCAAGATGACCATCCTGAAGTATCGAAATACGTATGATACAGCCTTTTTCTTTTGGTTTTGGATCGCAAAAGTTGTTCAGTCAGATTACATCTGGAAAACGTCAATTATCATTGAAACTGGCCAATAGTCCACCGTGTGTTTAGATTCTACAGAAATTTTTCCCAAATGTAAGCTTTAAAATTAAACCCACAGGATCGACTGGAGTGACGGCAACACTTTTCCTGCTGGTTTTAAATGCTAGATTGGTTGTAAGCAATTTCTGATTAGGCGAGAAACTTTTTCACAAACAGTAACCACGAAAGAAATCCATTCCTCAGCCTGAACCATTGTAACAAGCTGATCTTACAATGAAGTATCAGAATTTAAGTAAATTAAAAAAAAAGAAACCACTGAACTTGCATAAATTTTACATCATAAATGCAGCACCAACAAATAAGAAGTGTTGTCTGCATGGCCCTCTCATTGATCCTGTATGACCAAACAAAACGCTTTATCTTTGAAAATTATTTTGCGATGCGTGCTACATACAAGGTCAACTACTGACCACATTTCCCTGGAATTTGAAGATGACTTGAGCTGCAGTCAAATTGAATACTTTTCGTTGTGGGAAACTAGGAAAATGGCTGCTTCAGTCAACAAAGGCCTGGCTGTTCTGGGGTTTGTGGGTAGCGTGTGCATGGTTATGCTCAGCAGATCGGATTGCAGTGTTGGTGTTCTCTGTTATGCACGGGTCAGCGTGTTTCGTGTATGCGGTTATCTCTTTCGTGTCTGTTTGACTTGTAATACGCTGACACACTAAGCTTGGTTTACGTGTCGGCTTAAATTCTGACATGTAGGGTACTTCAAAGGTTTCTCGGCTAACTTTAAATTTTTGTGGCATGTCATCACGTTCGAATGATTATTATAACATTTTAAGGTAAAGTTAGTGTTGTGCGTGTAGGGAACTCTCCCATTTGGATCTGGCCTGTAGGCTGTAGTGTGTTTGTCTTCATTTCTAGACCAGTTGTCCAAAGCAAAAAAGTTCTATGCTGCCAGCCCCAGTGCCAAGCTGACCAGTTGTGGACTACACTACATCATGATGTACCTTTGTACTAATCTCTACCCCTCAACATGTCTCGCTTGGGAGGGTCTGCTAGGAGTATCCATCTGGAGCAGAAGCTCCCCGCATCAGTTGGAAAGACCCATGTTGGTGAGGAGAGTCCAATCAAGCACAGTCTTGTTTGTAGAGAGTCAACCGTTATACAGTACATGCATAATCATTTGTAAACCAGTGAAGTACCATTCCCACCAAAGGTGCTCCCACTGTTGGGGAAATTGGGCCCTCTCTTGACCCCACGCAGTCAGCATACATGTAGCTCTCAGGGTTCACCAAAGAGGGCAAACTCCACCATGATACTGATGAGAGAGCCCCTGGTCCAAGGCTTTTACAGAGAACAGCCCAGAAACAAGGTCAAAATATATTGTATTACCAGAGTTGCGTAACGGCTTCAGCATCATTATTTGGGGTCGTGGCGGCATATAAGAAAGAAAAGAAGATTGATCAAGCTGGCTTGTGTGGTGAAGGAAAAGGATTAATATTGTAGATTTGTTTGAATCTGAAACACTATCTTTTTTATTATAAGTTTCTTTTTAATTTCTTTTCTGTGGGAAAAGATCAACTTTGAAAA